ATTTTCATTTCATATTTTATCCTTTATGAGCATTCATATTCATACATAAGCATATATGGCAGTAGTATCGAGACAGTGCGGCGCTCAATAAATTAGTGCCACACCTTTGCTTTGCCATTGTGAACATTAATCTTTTGCGAGAAATTTATTTCGTTTTATAATTATATCTCCTAGTTGTTCTGCAATAATTTATGTGTATACATTACTGTACTATTTATTTTTATCATTTATCATCCTCTTAACCCGATTCTAATATTAATTAGTTCGTATTTATAAACTTGCTTGTTTTATTCTAAATAATTTAAACAAATCAAATTAAATGAATCGACGAGCTCGAGTTAAGGGCACACCACTTACACATAGTGTGAAATTTTTACAAATTAATTTTTTTCCATATTTTGATAGGATTTACCTTTAAAAATAACTTACTACAATTTTAAATTTATATCTCAAATAGTTTTCAAGTCAGTTCAATCAGCTTCGTCAGTTTACTTACAAAAGCGTTTTTCTCAAAACAACCTTGTGGCTCTAATTTTGTCAATTTTTAATTTTTTTCGACTACAGGTCTTTGGACAATATCTTCTAGTAGAGTTTTGTTTTTAGGTTTCTTTCACGGAGAAAGTGGGACCCCGATAATATTTTTAACGTCATCGGAGACCACGTTTATTTAATGCTACACCGATTTTATACTTTTACCACTTATCTTTTGAAATGTCACGCTTATCCATAAAATGTTTTAAAACATTCTTATCAAACACAAAGTTTTTGTTTGGTTAGGAAAATTATTTGGGCGTTTCATAATTTTCAATTGTTTCAAGGATTTTAAGTTGGCCCCGCTAATCAATTTAATTATTAAAAGCTTGTTTGCTCAATTGACAACTTATATGTGCATATATAAACATACATATGTATATGTGCTTATTTATGCAAATTCGTATACAAAGAGTAGCCGAACAATATCCATTTCACCGGATAATTACTTGTTAATCCGAAAATTTTCAATGTAATTTAATTTCGTAAAATATAATGGCAGCGAATGTCAGTCTTTCAATCCCTTTATGCAAACCTCTTATTGAAAACTCTTCGATGGTTATTAATTTATTGTATACTGAAATCAATTAATTTCGTTTCATAAATATTATGGATATTGAAAGAAAAATGGTTTACGTGACTGGTAAACTAACCTACCACATGAAGACTTTCAACAACCAAGACGCATCCCTTGCGTTGTAGAGACGCCAGCTGCGCACGTCATCCACCCACCGATCTCAAAAAATTTAACATATTATACAATACTAGTGTATGTGCGTTAACAGTCGACAGACATGGCGACCGCAGAACACTAGCAGACTAACAAACTGAGTGACTGAGTAATTGGTCGGTTGGACTGCTGTTATGGCAACAAAATGATTCAATTAATTAACAATTGAATTAGCACTAACCGCCAGCGACAAAATGATGAAGTCGGGGGACAATTATAATGTTTTCTTCCGATGGTGGCGCTAATCTACTTTCGAGTCATACATATATATGCACAGAAACGTATACATAAGCAAGCTTATTTAAGGGGTTATGTCCACATGTGAATTTAAATTGATTTTTGTGTATGTACACTTGTGCTCACATAATTAAGTCACGCCAGTAACAGAACGAAAGTTTATTCAAAGCAACTTCTATGGTACAGGAATGAAACTTAATTTTACAAAAAATGGAAGAAATTTTAATTYATTTCAAAACAGAATACTTATTTTTTATTTAACTTCTAAAATAATAAAAATATTGCGTTCATTCGCTTAGCCCATCCATGTTGCTGTGCTCATATAATTAAGTCACCTAAAGAAAAATGTAGTTATTCGAAGTATACGTGAGCGGGACTTATTTTGTACCACTCTGCCTGTATTATTTCCCATAAAGAATCTTTGTTGCGAGGTTTTCGTGCAGCTACGGCTCTTTTTATAATCCCCCATAGGTTTTCTATGGAGTTTAGGTCCGGATTTTGAGCTGGCCAATCCAGAATTTTAATATTTCGACTACGTATCCAAGTTTTAACGACCCGCGAGTTTAGGGTCGTTATCGTGCTGGAAAATCCCAGCTAACGGTAAGTTGTCCACATAATCACCGTCTAAGTTGTTCTCCAGTATTCCATTTTCACCTGTCATTTTCCCGTCTATTTTAATAATCGGGCCAACGCCTGATGACAACCCCACATTTGGGATTGAATTCTTGCAAAGGGGTCGTCCTAAATATGGTTTCCCATCATTACCAAATACATTAAATTTGGATTCGTCACTCCAAACCACCAAATTCCAAAATTTAGAGTCCTTCCAGAGATGGTCTTTAGCAAACGCTTTTCGCTTTTCAATATTTTTTTTTTGGAACGTTATGTTTTCGTCTTGCTAAAAGGCCATTCAATGATTTTTCTTGTAGTCGTCTTCGTACAGTTTGTGCAGATATTTGTACGCCGTGGTATTCCTCTAATTGAGCAATAATTTCTGTGGAGGTTAAAAATGGATCAGACTTACTTAGCCTTACTAAGGCCCTATCGTCAGAACGGGTGGTCTTTCTTAGCTTTTTACGCGGTAAATTTTCAAAAGTCTTATTTTTTTTTTATAAAATTGAACAGCGTTATTAATTTTGCCTCTACATCTACAACTTCGGCAATATTTTGATATTTTTGAAAACATTCCCATATGACCCTTCTTTCGCTTAAAGTTGTGCTTTTATTCTTGCCCATGATGACGATGACTACAAATTTTGTTAAAAATAACTTAATTTAGTAAAAAAGAACATTATTGATGTAAATTGTGGCGAAAAAATTTTAATTTACCCGTTTCAAACAGAATGACTTAATTATGTGAGCACACTTTAATTGATAATAAATGGAAAATTCATTTAAACTCTCCCAAAYGAAAATACTTGAATGCGCTGTAAATCGGTGGCGTTCCTAGAATAACGGAACTTTTTGCTCGCGCAATATTAGGGATGTTGCATAAAGAAATATACCTTGTTTTTTTTACATGTTGTAAAAAAGTACTGAATGACTTAATTATATGAGCACAAGTGTATATCTCTCCCTTCTTCGTGAAGCCACACCTATTTATATTTGTACGAGACAACTATTATTTACATTTAGCCAACACCATTCATGGGCGGCGAAATGCTATGAACACATACATATGTATCTACTTCACACCGTTCTTCTTTTTGTGTCCTATCTGACGCTCTTCACTTGACAGCTTTCATTTTGGGCTTTGAAAAGTACAAAAAAAAAGAAGAACAGTATGCAAATGTTATCCCAAAATCCCAAAGGTAATATTACGGACTGATTTTTCCACAGTTTATGTTTTTTATTTTTAACCCAACAGTGAGAATATTAGACTAAAGTAGTATACGACCAGTTCACAGCATCAAATAACGCAATTTGAAATAGGGATAAAAATATATTGTATTTAAGTTAAGACAGCAAGCAGTGAATGAAATGCGTTTATTTCTTTGTTTATGGATAACCAAACCCTGAACATAACCCTGCTACATCTACGCTTAAAACAGCGAGATCTTTCCAGTTCTGATCTAAGATGAATAAAACTGTCATTTCAGAAAAACTTACATCTGATGGACTGATTATTCCTTATCTGGCAGAGTAGATTTTTGCGACTCTAATAACGATTATTCTCATATCATCAGTTCAACAATATGTTAATCGCTGCTATCAATCGTATATATATACATATACATATGTACATGTGTTTATAGTTTTTTTTTCGCTTTTTGAAAACACATAATCTTTCGACGCTAATTAAATTAGTTTTCCAACATTTCAATGCGGATGTTGCCATTATTTCTTTGGTAAACACCTATATAATTTTTTATTATATTAAATATTAACTGTTTCCTTATCCATTTATCTTTAAATGACAATCTTTTGTACGATATTTATCGCTTCTTCATTTGTCGCTCTGCATCGATTGTGTAAAGTGCATATAATTTCTGCCATTTGCTTCCTTTTTATCATACACCCATTGAATTTTAATTAATATTTCTCATATCCATGTGTTATTGTTATAGTATTGTTTGTGTTGATGGCGTTTGGAGCACGTAATATTGGCCGGAATATACGAGTTGCGCCGCGACAGTATGCCTTCCCATCATTATTTGTCGAGCTTTCAACAAGATAGCCTCATGCTTCGCAATTAATAATTACATTTGTATAATCAATTGTAAATGCGAAATATTTTAAAACGCTCCTGTTGCTGATACAATTGTTATGTTATATTGGTTGCTTTCGCTGTTTACTTATGTAAATACATTCATTCAAATATACTTAAATAAATACATGTGTCAACGTTCAATAGAAATTTCTCATATCAGGCAAAGGGGCATTCAATTAGAATTTTGTATACCCTAAACAATTTGCATTAAGTTTGCAACGAAGTTTGTGACATCCAGATGGAAGCATCAGAGACACTATAAAATATTTACATATATTATCAGCTTATATTCCGTCAGTTTTGGTCTGAATCTCTGAAAAAATTGTTCAGATCGGAACACTATGTATGGCTACAGCTGGTATACAAACTGACCGATCTAAATCAAGTTATTCTAAGAACACTTTTATAAATAATGCTTATTTTAATGCGCAAATTCTTATAAAAGAAATCTAATTCTATTTAAATATCTGCAAAGACTCATGGATTAGAAGTTTGTAAATTCAATCACACCAAATAACTTGTTTGCGTCAGATGCAACACCGAAATCTTATTTTTTTGAAGCCTACCAAATATTTTATATATTTATTTATTTTTTGTCAAATATGCACAGAAGATTCTTAGTAAATTATTTTAATCAATTTTAGCCAAAGATTTTTTAGAGCTTTCAAGATTTTATTTATAAAGTATAATCAACCTAATTATCGTCTACACAATTATATAAGTGGATAAAATATGCACATATGTATTTATTTATACTAGAATATATTGTATTTTTAATTAATTTCTTTGCAGGCGCGCATAGCAATGCTATTGGGTGAACGAAAATGTCTCGAAAGCCTCAAATCAGATCTGACACGACGCATTAAAATGTTAGAGTACGCTTTGCGACAAGAGCGTGCCAAATTCTATCGACTCAAATATGGTACTGATCCGCCTCAATTGAACGAGTTGAAGCCACCAACTGATGATGCTGGTCTTGGTAGTGAAGTAGCACCTGATTCGGAAGTACCATACAGTTCAGTATCGAATACAACTTGGCGGCAGGGTAGACAAATGCTACGACAGTATTTGGCCGAAATCGGTTACACAGATAATATAATCGATGTACGTTCGAATCGAGTGCGCTCAATACTTGGTCTCAATAACAATTCCGAACAGGAGGAGAATGTCAGTCCCAATATAAATGGTAATGAGAATAATAAACGCACTGCGGAGTCAGAGGGTTAGTTAATTTTATAATTTTCAAAATATTGTTTCATTAAAAAAAATTATTTTGGTTTTGTTCAATAGGTCGTCGCACACCAGCAAAAAAAGCACAACAAAATGATGCCATAATTTTGGATACTGAGGCCGCGGTAATGGCTAATTTCGAATTTCTTGGTACTACTGAAATGTCTGATGACGATGAGATTTCTGACGATCTCGAAATGGTCTCTGGCGAAAATGATGATACCGACATGAAAACAACTAAACGTAACAAAAGTAGCAAGGATTTGATAAGCGAAGGTAGGACATAAAGTTGCGCATTAAATAACCACAGAAACAATTCAATTGTTGTTATATCAGTATATTTACATGTGTACATTCACACAAAAATGTACGTGCATGTGTAAATATTTGAAAGTACATACTAACATATCCATTATTATCTATTACATTTAACTTACTCTCTACTTATTTACTAAAATGCGTACTCTTGCCATTTGCTTTTTCACTATTAATTTAATTCTATCGCTCATCTTCGTATCTTACAATTTGGTAACATGACAATTATTATTTCTATTGCTTTGCACTTTGTAATGGCTGCTATTGAAAGAACATTTATCAAGAGCAAGCTTTTAATTTGTTTATATCCGAATATAATAATAGTATTTTGACCAAATTACACACCCTTTATGCACACTCAATAGTAGGGCAACTATTTTTAAAATTAATATTATAAAAAAGTGTTTAAGCACTTTAAATATTTTGAAATTTGCTTATTTCAAATATTTTTTTTTTTCTTTGAGTGAATTTTTCGCTTTTTTCATTAGTCTTATTTAGAATTTAAATCAATAATTAAATTATAACCGCTGATTTGAGTGCACAATCATCATTCTTTGATATAAGTAAGTACCGTAGTAAAAAGTAAAAACTGTCGTAATCTGCCATTTCATGAGCCGAACTATTTAGCTGCTTTCTATTCCATTTGTCAAAGATAACAAAGATAAGAAACCCTTAAAAATACTAGGAGCGAAAAATTTACAAAATTATTACTCAGACGATCTGAAATTTTAATGCAGGAAATGGTTCAATTTATCATAGTTTTTAGTTATTGAATTGTGTTGATTTTAATGCCCGGCTGTTGTTTAGAGTTTTTCTTTTTTGGGCTTTTCACAATGCCTACAAAAAACATATGTTCATAAAAAACGTGTAGAAATAGCGCAATTTCTCATTTTTTAACAATGAGAATTAAAAAAAAAATCTGAAATCGGTCCAATTTTCTGAATCCGATAAAAAGAATATTGGAGCCGCAAAAATATCCCTGCAATAAATTAAAGAAATGTTGGCGAGTGAACAGTCCTGATAAAATTCCGCGTCCGTTTCGGTTTCGTAGACCCGACTGTCGACGGAATGTAAAAAAAATATTCTACTAAAATACATTTTTTGCCGACAGAAAGCTGTTAGTATTGTAAAATACATTGCACATAGGAATACACAAAAGAAGTATACAAATTAGTTGAAAAATTCTTAATTTGAAGAATAAATCACCCTTTGCTTCTCTTTATCTCTTCACCAACTTGCAAACTAGAATTCTAGAATGATGTATGTACATATTTATGTATATAAACACGAATACCAATGTTGTATAATTTTTTGGTTTATTAAAAATATTAGTTTCATTTGCAAAGTAGTAATAAATAAAAATTTAGGCCACATATTTACTGAGACCTTACCTCGACTTTTAACTACAATTATTTTGCATAAAAAATGTAAGTTTAAACACATACTTTGTAACAGTAAATTCTCCATTAGAACCGCATACTCCAGCATAGATATACTGCAATTTTCCTAAGCATCAAAAACCTTCGACTTTCGTTATTTTTTACTTTTCCCAATGCTCTTTTACATTATAACGTTACTTTATTATTATTTAAAATATAATCCCATCCCCTTCACTACTTATGTACGTAGTATATGCATACATACATATATGTATAATCGATTTCAATTCATTTTCATTGCAATAATATCACGCAGCTTTTGCGCAGTCGCACTAAGCGAATCAAAGAAAACCATAAACAAAAATCAGCTACAACAAAAGTACAAGAAATTTTCTTCGCTTCTTTCTATTTCAACAATTATTTTGTATTTTTTGTTTTATTTTTTATTTTTTATATATTTAAAAGATCTTGATGCCGAGGTTGGGGAGCAGCTTCTGAATGATAAAAATCTAATAACCGAAGGTGCTTATTATTCTCATAAATAGTTGTTCCTTCTTTAATAAAATTATTATTAAGATTTTTGCTTTAATTCATGACTCTTGATGTAAATGCATTTCGATGGGAAAGCAAACAGCATAGAACACGAACTTTTTTTATATTTGTTAAAAAAAATTAAAAAAATGTAAATAAATACTGATATAAGTGATTGTTATAAGTTACAAAACACATTATCATACTTTAAAAAACCCTAAAAACTATTTTCAAAAGTATTCACAATATATTGCCGTCTCTGTTTGCTCTCACCATGGCTTTCCGTTTTATAATAATAGATTCATATACATAAACCTTAAAGTGTTTTAACATATTGTATGTAATTAGCATTGTTTTTATAGCCAATATATTTGTACTTTCAACTAATTAGTTTCTATTTTTATTTTCCCTTTCTATGAAATATATTCAAAATTTTCCCAATCTACGACTATTTTTAAACCGGTCGATTCCAATTTGATATATACCACGGATTTTTGTTCGTTGACAAATTATTATAAATGATCCCGTTATTTATGACACACAACTGCCCTCCCCCTCCAAGGATACTCATCATCGAATACGACGGAACAATTGAACAACACTGCTAACAACGCAGCTGCCTCAGCCGCGGCTCGGCGCAATCTCATTACCGCTGTCACAGCCGGTGGCGATGAAGAGGTTGACGCCTCGCTCGGCCTTGGCGAGCTGGCACAATTGACGGTGAACAACGAGGCGGAGAGTTCGTACGATGCGAACGCTAAGGACGGCACTGGTGGCGGTACTGGCAGCTACCGTAAAACTTGGAACGCCAAATATACGCTGCGTTCCCATTTCGATGGTGTACGTTCACTGATTTTCCACCCGGAAGAACCGGTGCTGATCACTGCATCTGAAGATCACACACTCAAATTGTGGAATCTACAGAAAACGGTACAAGCCAAAAAGTCAGCTAGTCTCGATGTGGAACCACTATACACGTTCCGTGCACATACCGGACCCGTACTATGCCTCGGCATGTCCACCACCGGTGACGTTTGCTATTCGGGCGGTTTGGATGGTAACATTGAATGCTGGCAGCTACCATCGCCAAACATCGATCCCTATGATTGCTATGATCCGGGCGTACATTCAGGCACATTAGAGGGTCACACAGACGCTGTGTGGGGACTGACCACGATGCATAGTAATATTGTGTCATGCTCAGCCGATGGCACCGTGAAACTCTGGTCGCCGTACACCAAGGAGCCGCTATTGCGCACCTACACTGCTTCCGAGGCTGAAGGTACACCATCATCTGTGGATTTCGTGCGCAATGAAGTCGATCACATTGTCGTGGCGTATAATAGCGCTCATTGTATTGTGTATGATACGGAAACCGGCAAACAGGTGGTCAAATTGGAGGCTACACAGGAGATGTCTGGCAATACGGGGAAATTTATTAATAAAGTGGTATCGCATCCGACGCTGCCTATAACAATCACTGCGCATGAGGATCGACATATACGCTTCTGGGACAACGTTTCGGGTACGTTGATACACTCGATGGTGGCACATTTGGAACCGGTCACGTCGCTTGCTGTGGACGCGCATGGCCTGTATTTGCTGTCGGGCTCACACGATTGCTCGATACGACTTTGGAATTTAGACAATAAGACATGCGTGCAGGAGATCACAGCGCATCGCAAGAAATTCGATGAGAGTATATTTGATGTGGCGTTCCATGCTACTAAGCCATACATCGCTAGCGCCGGGGCGGATGGCTTGGCCAAGGTGTTTGTTTAAATATGTATATTTTGGCCTAATCGAAATCATCAGCAAAACAACAACCACCACCACCAAACCACAACAACATGCTAGATAACAACAAAACACGACACGCTGTTAAGAGAGTTAATGGAGCAGGGGGATATCAAATAGCTAGCATGCAAGCAAGCAGTTGAACGATTGAAGAATTGTAGTGCAAGTAGAGCTGTAGTTGGTTTATATTAACAAAACAGAAGTAACAAAAACAAAAAAATAATAATTATATATATATATATATATGATACATTTATTATTATAAAAATATGGATTAAGAAGCATTTCTACTACATACATACAACAACAAAAAATTAAATTGCTATATATATACAAATATATATATATGCATAATAAATAAATAATAAAACTTTTCTAAAAAACAAACAGCAACTACAAAATGCAAGAAATTAAAATTAAATTAAAGAGCATTCATAATGACATGAGTGTTCCCCATGTCTTAGTAATTAGAGCTAGAGAGGATTTACAAACGCAAGCTAAAATCGAATGATATACTCAACACAATACATGTATTAAGTATATGAATAAATATTAAATATATATATAGTTTACATTTACAATTGTTTGATTTCTTTCACTCATACGCACTCTTGCGGTCGTTCTTTTTTTCAGGTTTCCAGACAGCAGACTAGATGAAAACAAATGCTTTTTCGAATAAAAAATTAAATTAAAATTCTAATGAAAAGAAATGTGACTGTCTATGCGGTGCATTTAAAAGTGCTAGCCGTAGAATAATGATCTTATATTGGATTATTTTTTATAACACAAATAACTAATATTTTCAAATTTACCGTATATTCTTCTTAAAAATTACCTAATTTTTTTGCTAAGTTTGAAATAAATATTTGCATTATTTACATAATTCGTATTTTTCTTTTTTATACAAACCCTTTTTTAGAGTTAATATAATTAGTATCGGCGTTCTTCATCACTAAAAGCTCATTTATTGCTAAAATCTGCTTATGAAATATATAGAAAAATATATATTAATATACCGTATACCGATCGGTTGAGTATATCATTCGATGTTTTCTCCACTTAGCAATAACAACAGTAAAATCGTATAAATAGCAACTACACGAATGCAGCAAGCATAAAACTAGTTTATAAAATAACTGCTAATTTTCATTCGCTTAACTGATTTCCGCAAAATCCCGTCCTATTCCTATCATTCGTACCCCGAAATGTTAAAAATATTATTATATTCAACTATTAGCAGCAATCCAATCACGCAACAAAAATAAAATAAAAGGAAAACCAATATGTGTAAAATGTACTACAAACAGGCCGCGTATTAGAGTATTCGAGCTATAATTAAGTATGAAAAATAGTGGCATTTATAAAATCGTGTACATTTTATGAGCATATTATAAACAATATTTTATTATTAACCAACTTATCGATACTTTATCTCGCATACTTTTTCTTGCGGAACAGGTTTTCGTTTTTTTCGTCATAAATAACTGTGTAGACAACTGCAGAAAAATTTAGCGAAATTACACGTAGGCAAAACTAAATGTATTTTATTAACATAATTCAATACAAACCGAATTAGCTTAACGCAGCTCATTATCCATATTAAGCAAACAGTTCATTAAACATTTTCAATACAGTTTATACATTTATTTATTGAAATAGTTGTTTGCAACGACATGTCTGTTCTATCTATTAAGCCCAGACTCGTCTAACGTATACTCGCAGTTGTAAATATTTATACATAATTTTGAAACATAATATTTAAAAAATACATAATATGAAAAAATGCTAATTTGGCTTCCAGAAAGACTACTCTTGCGCTAAATAATTCTGTGGTTAAATAAAGCAAACCAAACTATGTCAATAATAACTAAATAATTGAATTATATTTTGTGAAAGCTTACATCTCAATTAAATTTAAAAATGCCTTGGTTTTAAAAAAACACTCCCTTTCAATTTGAAATGGCATGCTTTAATAAAATGATTCCTTCCAGCTTTAAATTACTGCTATTATTACAATATTTTAAAACTATGCCAACTTTTGAACCAATTCGATTTCCTTAAAGTTCTCCCGAAATGAAAAAGCTAAAAATTATAAAACTTCTACATGCATTATTTTCGCTCTTCTCATATTATCTCTCCGTTGTATATCACATAACTAAAAGTTATAAAAAATAGAAACAGTAAATATATTTGTACGAAGGGGAATAAGATTAAAAGTAATAACTTTTGCACAAATTTAAAAGAATTAAAACTAAGCTTCGAACAAAACAAAAAAAATATATATATCTGAACACATTATGCATAATGAAATGAAATAAATAAGTTTTTAAAAAATGAAATAAAGTTTGCCAAACAACTCAATAATATTAAGAGAGCGCGAACAAAGCAAATATTTGTAGTTATATAAAGCATTATGTAAACCAAAATATTAGCGAAGCGCATAGGAATGAAATTTACTTTTATTTAAGTTAAAAAAGAATTGTTACATTTTATTTTCAAAACCTCACCTCCAAAAAAGCTTTTTTCATATAATTTTATTTAATTTTTTTTTTACATTTTATGAAAAATTCCAATAGAAACGCTGGCGTTTCAAAAGAATTTTATATGAAGTTTACATAGTATACATATACATTTCAAATTATTGATTCAACGCATTCTTAATATATTAGAAAGCGTCACACAACAATACTCGTCCGTATATTCTGGAAATATTGCTGCATGCCATGAATATATCGCAAATGCTAAAATTGACTTTTTACTTACCGCACCAAAAAGGGTCCGCGAAATACCAGCCCTTCACCGTATAAAATTCAGGTCAATACCGGTAACGTAGAACTGGCTTTTGTTAATTTGTGGTGTTTCGCTGCTAAAACCGAATAGAAAGTAGTTGTTATCTTATTATTCTAAATTCTCAAAAAATTGCCGAGTGTATTGCCTTGTAAAGATCGGGTACACAATTTGCTGAATGGAAATTTGGAACATTCAATTGATTTTTTATTTTATTTCTAATATATTTTTCTAAAGCATACTGTGTACATTTGTGCATAAGTACGTAGCTCGTACAAGCATCATTTTTAAAAGTATACTTTTAGATTTTAATTAAGCGAATTTTACATAATAGATTCATGACGAAAGAGCTTAATGTTCATAACTTGCTTGTAGTAAGGTGAAAAGAAGAATCGCTTTTAAGTAGGATCGCGTATCCTCAACTCTTACTATCCCTCGATGTACATACATTTGAAAGTATTTCAATATGTTTTAATTTTTTTTTGAATCTTGTTAAAATATTTGAATATTTTCTTGGAATCTTTTTAAACACTTTTTAATATTTTTTGAAATTGTTTTAAATAATTTTAAATTTTTTGGAATCTGTTTAAATTCTTTTAATTTTTTTTTTGGATACTTTTTATATTCCTTTAATTTTTTTTATATTTTTTTAATTTATTTTTTATATTTTAATTTAAATTTTTTTAAGCAGAAAGCTTTATCAATGTAGTGGGTGGTATACATATGGTATATCTACATATGTATGTACGTTGGAAAATAGAGGCAATTACATACATAAGTACACCAGATTACAGTAGCGGTCGAAATAATAGCAACACTAAAAGAAATTTGACATATAGTTTATTTCATTTGCTCTCATTTGAAATGCAAAATCGACATTAATTTTTATCACTTTTATATAAAAATATTTGTACTATGTGCAGTTTTTGAAGCGAAAAAAATATATATATGCTTAGTTTTGATAAACTGATAATATACATTTGTTTATCCCTTACATGATTCCCATAAATTAGGCACAACAATTTTCGACCGTCTCTGCCTTATAGTTATGAGCAATTTACAAATGAACATACAGACAACCTAAACTGGACACCTTTATTTGCCGTTTACTCGATAAGACGAGATGTTACGACAAACACAAGTATTTACATACTTACGCAAAAAAAGTATAAATAAAAATGAAAAGATATATGTTGTTTAGTTTTCAAATGTTTTATAAGTAAAATCGATTGATATACATATATATATATATAATGAAACTCATATATAATATGCATAAAATAAACAATAATAGTAATTGAAAAAGGAAAGGAGAATAAAATTAAATAAAAAATGAAAGGTTTGCAATATTAACTCTAAACTTAAAGTTTTAAATAAGATCGAAATAAAATGGAAAAAATTAATAAATAAAAATACATAAATGGAGTTACAAACGCAATAGTGTAAAGCTATAAGAAAGACACACTCATGCACACACATATATTAAGTAGATATTAACAATTTACAATAAAAAGTAATATATGATGAAATAACGCTCTCATTATTATAAATAGTAAAATAAACATACATTAACACACGCATGGATAAAAAAACAAACATACATAATTATATAAAGAGTAGTAGTTCAATTAAGATTGAAATTAAAAAAAAAAAATGAGGAAATAAATGCATAATCTAAAGAAGATAGAAGATATCACGGAATATTGAATGATGTAATTTAACTAATTGGCGTACGGCGCTAGTTTAACGACAACTAAAAGCTAAAGTTCTTCAAAAATTATGAAAACCAAATTATTAAAAACAAAACGTGTTAGGAAAAGAAGAGGAAACGCAAAGTAAAACAAACTTCTTACTTGCTTTATAATTTAAATGTATAACACTGTCTATTATAGTTTACAAATCAATTTGTGTTTTATTTAAATGTACTCGACGACGCTCTGGATTCATGCATAACTTCATATACATATGTAAATGTTATACTCATTTAATGATTAAATATACAAACATACATATGATATGTAGTATATGTATGTATACTATAAAACATACTTTCATAATTATATATACTACATACAAATAATGACACACACTTACTTACATATACATACACACATATATAAATATGCATATATATAATTATATGATATATACAAAATTATAAATTATGAGGATTTTTAAATTGTAAAGAACAAAAAACAAATTGAAAATTATATTAAGTATAATTGATTTAAGATTAAAAAACAAAAACCAAAATGTGTTTTATTCAATCCATTCGTTATGATTTAAGAATTTCACTATCACTTTACTTTGCTCCAAATATTTCATCACTTTCTTGGGTCGGGTCACTTCATCATAACTTTGAAATGGACTGCTCAATTTATCCGCTCTGTAGTATAAGCATTGGGGTATCCATTAATTTCCAAGTTGATTTTTTGTTTTGCAATGAATTCAGTTTTTGCCCTTAAAAAGTA